CTTTAGGTTATAATCTATTATATTACAGGCTCCTAGAATGTCCCTTTGCCTAGAAACATATGTTTTCCAGATGACCCAATATTTGAATATACACCATTCAAAATATCACACTTTAATCATGGCATTGCCCTTTCTTTGTACTTGCTTCTATCATAACACTCACTAGAAGCCCAGTGCATGAAATTCATGCATGGGAGTTGGGTGGTCCCTCAGCCTGGCCTTTACCCTCTCGCAATCTGGGACCCCTTGGGGGATGTCTGATTGCTGGTTTAGGCCCAATCCTGCCTGCAGGAATTGGGCCTAAACCAGCAGCCAGACATCCCTCTTGCAATCTGGGACCACTGGTTCCTAACTGCTCACCTGCCTGCCTGCCTCATCTCCCCTTACCACTTTCCTGCCTGCCTGATCACCCCTAACTGCCTCTGCTTCAGCCCCTGTCGTGATGGCTTCGTCCAGAAGGATGTCCAGAAGGTCGTTTGGCTGCCCAGTCTAATTAGCATATTATGCTTTTATTATAAATATCCATTATTCTATCTGTTCATTTTCTTACCATGTTAATCAAATGAAGCGAATATATATAAACATATACAAACTTGTCATATGCATATATGTGTGACCCTTTACACAAGTGGCCACTCCATCCCATGATGTGGTGAGACACACGTGCAGCAGGAGGTGTGGTGTTGCCTGACATGCACTCCCCCCTGGTGTTCACATGACACCAGGAAAAGTGTCACTCAAAGACACTGCACACGCATCAAGACAGAAAGATTAAACCTGACCAAGTGTCAGAACACAGTTTGTTCCAAACCTAAAACAAAGTAGCTAATTACAATATGCATTCAGTGATTTCAGGTTCTCTTAGAATTACCAGTCTCTTTGGGAAATTGACAGAAATGCTGTGTTTGGTAATTTTAATATGTCGTGTTAACAAGCAATCCTTTAATTAACTTTAAAATTTACTGTGTTAAACATTTAAAATTATTGAATTAAAAAACACACACATTAGTTTTTGTTTTTAACCTCAAAAGCCCCCTCTTTATAAGGGCATGTCTGAGTTGCCATTGGCAGGTGGGCCTCTGTATTGCCAGGGAGATGTTTCCTTCCTGTGGCTGTAGCCTCAACTCCTCTCGGGTATGCTCCGGGCTGTGTTCATTCAATAAATGTCCTCGGGTGATGCTGACGGCTGCCTCCAGTCTTGCGCTAGGCACCCAGGCAGGTGGGGTGACCATCTCTGCACCCCCCAGCCTCACCCTTGGTTACTCTCAGAGCGCATGGCACCTGGTCATGCTTACCTGCAGCTTCGGCGGCTCCGCCCCTTCGTTTCATTATTAGACTCTGGAGGGATGGAACAGCTGTGTCTTCAGCTCTCACCCTTATTCACCAGGAAGGACAGGAGAATTATGACATCTGATAGGGAGAGAGATGCTTTAACCAAAGACAGGAGTGTCTCGAAGACAATGATCTCAATCGATGGTTTCACTAAGTTGCTGATGACCTTGAAGGTGGTCTGTGGGCTCCTTGGCTACTGAAACATTGTTCATTGTGGATGATGGTGACAGTCCACATACATTGACATTTTACTTATAGTTTTACCCTTTGAGCAAAATAGTACCGTGAGTCAATGCTTGTGAGTTGTGTGTTGGTTTTTGGTTTATCTATTTTTATACAATTAAGTAGAAGCTTATGGGGGAGGTGGTTTAAGGGAACTCACTGGCCCTAAAACTGTCTTTCTTGACACATATTTGTTGAGTGCCGGCTAGGGGGTGACTGGGTGCTGGGGATATAGCAATGAGGGATTCAGAAAGTGCAAATGCATGTGGCAGGCAGCATGGCCAGTCGCACTCAGGTGTGTCTTGGCAGAGATTGTCTGGGCTGTAGTCACATGCAGCTCCATGGTGGGAGCCCTGGGCAAGCTTCAGCGTGAAGCGGGGTGTCAGTGTGTAGCTCGCAGAGCACTTGTGAGGGATGGAGGAGGTCATGCCACTGCCACACGCAGCCCTGTGTCCGGCCGAGCCAGGCCCCGTTGCTAGCTGCGCTCATTCTTTTCTGGAAGGTTGCCCTGTGTGTTCATCCATGGCTGCTGTCTGACCATCACAGTTCCATGCCGTGCAAGTCCAGAGTGAACACGGCGCCTGCGTGTTGGTGTGGAAGTCAAGTGTGCACGTTCCTGTTCTCCCTTTTAGCAGGAGTGGTGGACGATCCCTGCGTGGGGGCTGACTGTCCCAACCGGACCTGTGAGCTGGACAACGGCGGGGAGCTGTGTGGCTGCATCGAGCCTCCCCCCTACGGGAACAGTGAGTGACACCTGCCCCTCCTTGGGAACAGTGAGTGACACCTGTCGCCCCCCCCTCACGTGAACACAGTGACACCTGTCCCCCTCACGTGAACACTGAGTGACACCTGTTGCCCCCCCACGTGAACAATGAGTGACACCTGTCCCCTCACGTGAACAGTGAGTGACACCTGTTGCCCCCCCACGTGAAGAATGAGTGACACCTGTCTCCCCACGTGAACAGTGAGTGACACCTGTTGCCCCCCCACGTGAACAGTGAGTGACCCCTGCCCCCCCACGGGAACAGTGAGTGACACCTGCCCCCCCCGCGTGAACAGTGAGTGACCCCTGCCCCCCCACGGGAACAGTGAGTGACACCTGCCCCCCCCGCGTGAACAGTGAGTGACCCCTGCCCCCCCACGGGAACAGTGAGTGACACCTGCCCCCCCCGCGTGAACAGTGAGTGACCCCTGCCCCCCCACGGGAACAGTGAGTGACACCTGCCCCCCCCGCGTGAACAGTGAGTGACCCCTGCCCCCCCACGGGAACAGTGAGTGACACCTGCCCCCCCCGCGTGAACAGTGAGTGACCCCTGCCCCCCCACGGGAACAGTGAGTGACACCTGCCCCCCCCGCGTGAACAGTGAGTGACCCCTGCCCCCCCACGGGAACAGTGAGTGACACCTGCCCCCCCCGCGTGAACAGTGAGTGACCCCTGCCCCCCCACGGGAACAGTGAGTGACACCTGCCCCCCCCGCGTGAACAGTGAGTGACCCCTGCCCCCCCACGGGAACAGTGAGTGACACCTGCCCCCCCCGCGTGAACAGTGAGTGACCCCTGCCCCCCACGTGAACAATGAGCGACACCTGCCCCCCACGTGAACGCTGAGTGACACCTGTCCCCCCCCTTGGGAACAGTAATTGACACCTGCCACTCCTGCCCCAAGACGGGCCCAGTGGGAGGGGCCTGCAACCGCATAGCAAAGCTCTAGGACTGCAGCTGCCTCCTCACTGTGGGTTAGAAACCAACAGCAAAGCTTTCAAACCAGGTCATCTGCAGGGAAGCAACCGCACCTGGGCAGTAGGCGATGCTGGCTTCCTGGCTGCACCCTTTCCTGCATCTACATCATAAAAAGCCTGTGGGTCGTTAGGGCATCAGGACCAAAGGAGCAGTGGCTCTCGCGGAGGTGGGCGGGTGGCCACCTTGGGCCAGCGGAGCCACTGGGCCGCTAGTAAATCCTAACAGAAACGTGTGTGAGAGTGAATCAGCCATTGCATTGGTGGCACCTTCAGTATCAGGGATCGGGAGGATCTGGAAGATGGACAGGTCAGGCGTGGTCTGACGGAAATGTGAGAATCGGGGCAAGCGCGGGCGCTTGGGCACTTGGGCGCTCATCTTAAGGTAGCTCTGTTGCCAGGTTCAGGTGGGGCCCAGGAAACAGCTGGAATGTGTGAAGCTAACAGTGACCGGGTAGGACACTAAGTCCTGCCCCACCGAGTCCTGGGTGGGAGCACACACACTTCTGCCAGCCCCGCCCCACCCGAGCCCAGACTGGGCAGCACTTGCTAAGCTACACTCAGACTGTGGAGCCTGAGGCCAAGGCTCCCCAGGAGGAGGCGGCTGGGCTGCCCACACTGCCCCTGTGCAGACAGAAACTGGTCTCCATAGCTGCTTGCTCACCGGGAACAGCAGCTGGCACATCCCTGTGTCAGGATCCAGAGCTCCTGGTGCTCAGCTGGGGATGCGCTGGGTTGGGGTGGCCTGGCCAGTGCTGTCCTGCTTGGCGGGTCCTTCAGCCAGGCCTCCCTGAGCCAAAGGCAGGATGGAGCCTGCAGAAAAGCAGCTACTACGCAAGTGGGGGAGTCCTGGGTTTAGGAAGAAAAGACTCTTCATTAGTATTTTCTTCATTTAAAAAAGACTCTTCAAGGTCCCAGTTGTTGCTCTGAATGAGCTCCTAGACTCCTTCAGATTGAGCAAAGCTCAGTTAGAAACGCCACAGCCTTCCTGCAGATTAGCAGCCATTTCTACAGGAAACGGCCATGGAGACCAGCACCCACTCTCTTGACTGTCATCGTCCTGTTTCCCACAGACTCGCACGATATCATCGACGCGGAGGTGACCTGCAAGGCATCCCAGATGGAGGTGTCCATCTCCAAGTGCAAACTCTTCCAGCTCGGCTTCGAGAGAGAGGGCGTGAGGGTCAATGACAGGCAGTGCACGGGCATCGAAGGGGAAGACTTCATCTCCTTTCAGATCAACAACACCAAAGGCAACTGCGGGAACATCGTGCAGGTGAGGCCCCGGCGGGAGAGCCTGCGGGGGGAGCTGTCCAGGTGTTGGCGCGTTGGCTGCTCTGACAGCGCCTGAGGGCCGTCCAGTGAGGAATAGCCTCCTGGGAAAACAGCAAAGGGCGTGCAAATGACCTGCCAGGACAATGGCTGTCTGTGCGGGATTACGGCTACATTGGAGGAGTGCAATAGGTGGCAGCTTCCTCCCTGGGCCCACTCTGTCTGCTGCCATCCTTTGTCCTGCGTGTTGACAAAATGTTATTCCTTCTCATGCCTTCAGGTCAGTAGCTGGGTTTTGCTGTTTTGGGAGATCAGGGCATCCCAGGTATCATTTAAGAGAAATGCAGAAAAAAATACAGCTTTGGAGAAAACAAGATGGCGGCATAGGTAAACACCTGAAATTGCTGCCTGGCACAACCACTTCAAAAATACAACTAAAAGACAAAACGGACGTCGTCCAGAACCACAGGAAGGCTGGCTGAGTGGAAATTCTACAACTAGAAGGAAAGAGAAAAACACACTGAGACTCAGAGGAGGTGAGGAAGTAAAGTGCAGAGGTATGGAGGCGCATACGGAAAGGGCTGGCAACTGAGGACACGGTTGTCCCTTTCAGTCAGGAGGGAGACACACACTCCTGACTGCTCTCAACTCCAGTTCCGGGTGAATATCTGGGGACCCAGACTCATACGGGGAGAAACTGGACTGTCTGGCATCAGGCAGAACTCGAGGGCAGCTTTCTCTCAGAGGTGCTTGCAGGGATTACCGAAAGACACTGAGACCCGGGACCTCTTAGGGAAGGACTGAGGATAAGTTTCCTGCTGGGTGGCCCCAGGCAATGGCTGACTTTGCACTTTCCTGGAGACCCAAGAGCCAGGGCACCCAGTGGTCAGCATTAGACCATACCAGATTACAACTCTACACATCCATAAGTGACACACTCAAGGGGCAGATTCAGTGAGCACCAAAGCCCCACTGAAGCAAGTCTTGCCCCATAAGGGTGTCTCCAGCACAGAAGTTCTCCCGCTGTAGACACAGCTGATTCTCACAGCCAATTGGCCTGGAGGTCAAGTCCTCCCAGTGATACCTACAACAATCAAGGCTTAACTACAACAAAACTGTGCACAAAGCCCACAAAGGGGTGCACCAAGAGTATCCACCTCAGGTAATTGGGAGCTGAGCCACTGGGACCTATAGGACACCTAGCACAGAAAGCCACTCTATCAATACAGGGAAGCATAAAAAATGTGGAGACAAAGACAGGTCACAAATGACAGAAATGGAGGAAACCAACCTATTGGATAGAGAGTTCAAAACCACGGTTATAAGGTTTTTCAAGAATTTTCTAGAAACCACTGATAAATTTAGTGAGACCCTCAGTAAGCCTAGTGAGACCTTCGAGGATATGAAAAAGGACCAACTAGAAATTAAACATACACTGACTGAAATAAAGAATATTATACAGTGATCCAACAGCAGACTAGAGGATTGCAAGAATCAAGTCAAAGATTTGAAGTATGAAGAAGTAAAAAATACCCAACCAGAAAAGCAAAAAGAAAAAAGAATCCAAAAATAAGAAGATAGTGTAAGGAGCCTCTGGGAGAACCTCAAATGTACCAACATCTGAATTATGGGGATGCCAGAAGAAGAGTGAGAGCAAGATAGTGAAAACG